TTTTTTTTTTAAACGTGTAAATGTGTATGTTGGGCCTGCGACAGCAGCATGGAAATGAATCAATCACCCTTAGCTGATAATCGTCATCTCCTGTATGTCGTTCCATAAATGTGTTGACAGTTTCTTTGAAATGCTAACATTTCATGTTACCCTTTATTTCACCGATGTCCACGCAATAACTGCCATCAGTCATGTGATAATGAGTTTAACGCAAACCCTCTTTGCTTCTGACAGATATTTAAAGCCCATGTTATGATAAAACAAGTTCGCGTGTGAGTTAAAACAAGAATCGACTTTGGCGTTTGAGGGTTCTTGTTCGCACATTCATGTGATTCCAAGCTGGACCCTTGGAAGCCTTATTTGAGTTCATAGACCAGCGTTTTGTTTCAGTAAGAAGTGACGTGAAGCCCGAGGTAGTGTGATTTATTCACAGGAGAGGTACATATGATACAGGCTGTAGACTGATGGCAAAGTGCTTTATGTGATGCGTTTTTGTTTTAAATTGTGTTGTTGCCAATTTCTCTTAAGTTGTTATCTTTGTAGTAGCTCAACACCAGACTGCCACACATCACCACTGGTCAAACTGCAGCTGGCTAATGCCGCCTGTTTAGGTTACATTTCTTTATGTTGGAGTGAGTGAGGTGTGTTTCACAGATGCACAGTATTCTGCTCTCTGCATAGTGTTGAGTCATTTTAAACTGTCTGAAACACTGGATGCCAGCAATACCTTCTTTTCTTTTTCTTTTTTTTTTTTTTAAAGGTCACCTACCTCTTATTTTTTTGTCAGTTGGATGTTACTAGAAGGTGAAAGCTTCTAGTACAGAATACAGTTGTGAAACATTCTCCATCTCGCAGCGTTTGAGGTATTTAATGTGACGGTGAGTCGGCAGTGTGCGACTCTGTCTGCAAGTGTCTGTCCTAAGAAGTGTCAGCATCCTGTGTAACGGCACAGTGGATGCAGTTACACAGGATGCACAATCATGTGTCTGTTTTGTCAATCCTGTTTGTCCTGCAAAACTTGCCAAAAAGACTAAAATCTACTCCAGGTTGAGTTAATTTTTTTGTGTCTTTTCCGTTTTAGCATTACATCTTGTACTTTTTTTTTTTTTTCTTTCTTCTCATGTGTTCACCTGTAACCTGTTTCGCCATACTGTTACTGAGTCATGCAGTTTGACTCCCAATGGCAGCTTGTTTGAGTCCTCACATTGGGGTTGGGATTATTCTGTTACAGCATCTATAGCATAATGCCATCTTCCACAGGCCAAATATTAAATTAGTGGATTTCATTAGTTTGTTTTTTCTTTCTATCCAAATGTGCACTTCAATAAGCAGTCAGATCATTGGGTTGTTTGTGTAGGAACACTGTATTACAAAAAGCTGCCTGAACTGTACGTCTTGAACTTTAGCAACACAGAAAAACTTTACTGGTCCTGTTTTTCTTTTGAATTTGAAGAGTATGTAAATGAATGGTAATCACGGAGTCTGACAAATCCCTGAAATCAAGTCAACACAAATTGTTTTTTATAAATTCTGTAAATATGTATGATTTTTGTCTATCATTTAGGTATTTTCATTTGACAGAGATTTATATTCAAATATGAAATAAAAATGATAAATTATTAGCACGTGGCTTTCATGGACTATTTTAAACGCACAGATTTCCCTTTGTTTCCTCAACGTTGCTTTCAGCTGCTGTGTCTTTGATTTAGAAGATTATATTTCTTCTGTGTGGGATGGCCTTCCTGACACAACCCTGAAGGAATTCAGATCTCCTCCTGGGATCAGACCGGGGCTCTTGTTGGGTGAATGTGTAAACTACAACATTATATAAACGGCAAAATTAGTTCAACTCCACAAATCAGCTTCTATTTTCATTTCACTTTTAGTCTTGGGTGCTTCACACTGTGGAAAATGTCAGGTGTTGTTAATATTTTTAGGACTCGCCTGTTCTTTAATGCGGCCGTTCACACCAAATGCTGAATGAATTTGTGGCAGTTATTGCTTTTTTTTTTTTTTTTTTTGCATTTGGCAAAAGTGCTTGTAACCCAAATTGTGCACAGTTACTGAATATACACAGACACTGTTCCTGGTCAGTTGACTCTCAAATGATTTCTCTGCCTTCTCATATATTTTTTTTTTTTTTCTAAGGATGAATTTTTCACAAAATGCATCGTGTTGTAACACATTTGGTGTGTAATGGCCTTTATAGAGTGGCTTTGCTTGATTTACAGCTCAAAGCCTTATATCTCATAACGAGCTTTGATACAGCCAAGACTCATTATGAGATAATGACACGAGCTTTATTTACCATCTGAAACAAGCAGTTTTAGATTGCCTTTCATCAAGGCAACTGTCTTCTGATTGGCTGCCCCTCGCAAACAGATATTCAGACAGCAGGTGGGTGGGGCTTCTGTCTTCACAGAGCTGTGATCGAGATGACTGTAATGAGGAGATCCGTTCTCTTTGTCATACTGAGCCAAGAGTAAAACCAGAACGTCAGTGACGTAGTAGCTCAGCTGGCTCATGATCCATCATAATTCACAGGTTACTGTAATGTATAAAGTGCAGAAAGACAGTGAAGAGTTTTGTCATTGCTTGGATGCACAAACCAATGAAAAGTTAGAGAAGCTTTAAGTCCGTCATATCCACGACACATTCATCTCATGTCACTAAAGTCTGACCGCCAGTCTAAGACTCATTACGTCACTGTGCACTGCAGCAATACTTGCTAATAGTGGAGGGACATATGGACAGCTGATGAACTTCTCAGCACTGATCCTTTTGTCTGAGATGGTGTTTAGAGCAGTCTGAGCTTTTGGCTCACAGGAAATACTTGTACATACACCGACCTCACAATTTAAAACTTTAACTGTGTGCAACATGAGCACCCACTCCTGTAACACTATATGCAGCCTGCTGTCAATAAGTTCCCTTTAAAACAAAGACCAACATGGCTTCCTAATCATAGCACACCGTACTTGTTAGATAATAACAGCATCACTCTATGGTTAGTGTTTTATACGTTCTAACGTTTTTAAAAAAGGGCCAGCTACTTATTTGCAAGCATAAATAGAAACAACTTTGGACAGAGCAGCTGACATAAATAGCTTCATAATTGGTTAAAAAAGAAAAGAAAAAGCCTGTTTTAAATGTTTCCCAGATTATCACTGTGACGTGGACGCAGTTTGAAGATTGTCATATGATTCAGGAGCATTAAAACCAATTCTGTGCAGATTGTGTTATTAATATTCGCTCCAGATAGGCTACAGGACAGCCAGTGTTTTTTCTAAAATCAAAACATCATGGGACCAGCTGAAGGGGAACTCCACAAATCTTTCCAATTACAGATTAAATTACTCAGCATGAGGAACAGACAGAAAAATCTGCTGAGACCGCAAATGTACAAAAAAGCCCGTTCTCTACTGGGAACATGGAGTTTGAAAGATGCGGGCATTTATCAGTGAACAATGGGCAACCCAGAATTTGACGTCCGCTAAGCTTGTTGGCGATTCTTTTAAAATTAAGCGATTAAAAAAATCAAATAAAATAAAATCCATTTTTTCAATTTTTATTTTTATGAAGAAGTAAGAACAGCAGCAGACAGATCTTAAAATCATAAATTACAAATCATAACTTCATGGTCGTTGAACAAATACAGACGAACAGATTTTGTCCATTTATAGCCTACAAAGTTGTTTTTTTGTTTGTTTTTTTTAAAGGAAAGGAAAAAGCAGCTGCTGTGTCTGAGAGCGCTCTGCTGGCAACAGGATGTGGAAGTATAATGGTCCTAGCTAGTGAGAAAAAGAGCATTTTAAATGTTTAATGACCTTGTTGCTTCCACTGCATTCACACCACGTCAACAGAGTGGGGAGAACAGGAGCCTGTTTACATTAATCCTCGACAGTCATCCCGATTGCCCGACAAAGTCATTCCAGATAACCCGATGTGTTTTTTTTACTGTGGTCCATTTTTTCATTATTACAATTTATGTAGGATTTGCTGATATTTTGCCAAATATTTCACACTGTTTCCCCATCCTTGAGCGTGAAACTACACTCTGTTTGAAATGGTGTGCGAATGCAGCTTTATGCACTTCTCAAGCTTTCATTAAACTAAAATGTCAACGTGCCACAACCTTGCCCAACAGCACTGCAGCGTCATGTGTACATGGCTCCATGCAGGCCCTCCAGCCGATGCTCGCTCTGTTTCCTTCTCTCCTGCAGATCAGAAAAATAAATAAATAAATAACAACAATATAGAGCTAATGCCACGATAAATGTACGGTTAAACGTTAGGACACACTCAAACACACCCACCTTGTCTTTTTTAAACTGCTCGTAGTCTGCATTATCGGTGGGTAATTCAAGTCGGCAGAGCGGACAGGAGTTGGTCTAAAGTTTAAAGACGACAAAGAAGCAAAAAGGATTTGTAAGAGGTCACGCTCGTGTGTTTTCTATTTCAAAGAGAAGCACAAACACGGGAGCGTTACCTTGTCCAACCATGGCAGTATACATCCTGAGTGGAAAAGGTGTTTGCAAGGCATTTCTCGAGCCGTTTGCTGCTCCTCAAACTCCAGCAGACACACAGGACACTTGAGACCTCTGCCTGTGAGAACGAAAAACAAAAAGCCACATCAAAATCTCAGGTGATATGCACGCTTACGTAGATTTTACATAGATCATGGGCTGATCATCAACCTAAATGTCAGGGCAGTTAATTGTCATGGTTCTGTCTACCTGCTTGTTCAGCAGTTATAACGATCACAGTGAGGGTCTGAACGGCAGTTTTGGCAGCCGGAGGAGGAAGTCTCTGGTCCCAGCTTGACATGCCAGCATAGCGTGCGTCGATCCAGTCCAAGCCCTGTATCAAATACCTGTAAACACCAACGCAGGCGCCAACAGTCAGTCAGAGCACTGCACACATGAGAATAAAGCCTCTTTGTTTGCTCGCCCTCACCTGGCCATCTCAAGGAGAGCATTCTGGCGGTACTGCTCCTCGGGGTCGGTGGGCTCGCAGTTGTGTTCATCAAAGTAGGATGCCATTTCCGCCCAGTACGTCCTGTTCACAACAAAAGAAATCAGGCATGAGACGTGCTGAACGATCATTAAAGCTTGGCTCTACAACAGACAGTGAAAGTGAAAAGCTGAGGAATGCGATTGGTGAGTGAGCACCGTGCAGGAAAGTACGAGAAACACAGCTATGCCAATCATACTGCAAAAGCAGATATATGTGCTGCCTTGATGGCAGGGACTGGTGTTGTTTTGTGACAGTTTTGTTCTGGATAAACATTCAAAGAGAGTGTGATGGGGATCTGAAAGATAGTCCAGTCATGTTTTACAATACAGGCTTTTCTTGGGAACACAATAGAGGGGGAGGGGGGTAGATAACAACAAAAACACGAGTCAGCGCAGATACCATCGACCTGCGCTACTTGCTTTATTTCGTGAAAACAAAAGAGAAAAGCGCTCAACTTTAGCTAATTCTGTTCACGTATTAAGGATATAAATAAAACTTCAAAATATAAAACTGAGACCATCGCAAAAAGCTTTTTCCAGCCGCTTCGACGTTAACGACCAACAATGGTTCAAAGGCTCTTCCACATTACAAATAGCCTCCACACGGAACTACCGTGAACACCAACCCTTACACGAGCTTTGTACAATCATAAGATACAAAAAGAATTTATTGTCTTAAAACTATTCTAAACCTGATAAATTTGGTCGACTCACCTGAAATCTTGCAAAGAAACATTTGTCATCTTTCCGGGTACGAAGATAGCCACGTGACTCCTCGTCCAATCACAGTCGAGGTTTGGTTTTCCTCGTCTTTTGTTTTGTTTGTCTACGTAAGCGTGCAAAATGTCTCACTAGCGCCCACAACCGGTGAAAGACGTTCCCAAACACTGAACTTTCAAAGGGTTTCTGTACGAAAACGAATCATTTATTCATCATTTTTCTTATCTGAAGGTTATGAATAATACGGGCCTTCTGCCTAGACTCTGTAGAATTTCTTAAATAAAAAGGGCTAACTTATCATAGTGAGTAGGGACAGCAGGGTGCTGTGAAGGTTGTGGGTTTGAATCCTCTGTTCCTGCGTGTCTTGATCCCCATTGGTGATTTTATATTAGCTGAAGGCGTAAACGTGAGCATGAATAATCTATGCATTAGCTCTGTGACCTCTCCAGGATGTACTCTGCCTATCACCCAGCTGTGACCCTGAAGTGGATAAGCAGAAGAAGAGGGCTCTTACCTCATCCTGAAAGAGGTGCTCTACAGCTGGACTAATGTCTGATTAAAGTGGACCTATGATGATTTTCCTTATTTTATATTATCCATGTAACTGTGATGAATTAAACTTTACATAATGAAGTCGTCGTGTGTACAAACAATCTCTGTGAGTGTTTTTGATGATTTTAGTGAGAGCAGGTATCCTTAGTAAAGCCACACTCATCTTCTCTTTAAACCTTTTGTCTGCACTATTCAGCCAATCAGAAGATGGCTAGCTTAAAGGGAAGGACTAGAAAGCTAAAACAGCTTGTGTAAGACAGTGGATGCTCTGAGGGACTGTACCAAGATAAATAAGGGTCATTTTTACCTGTGAATCATGCAAAGCTTCTCTAGAAGCTAAGAATAAAATTATAGCATTGGAAATTGCAAAGCTTAAGGGTAACAGCTGCACACAAAGTAAAAGCTTAGCATAAATTAGATCCTTGGATGACATTTTGATACCAAAACTGAATTTATTGGCATAATCAGGCTAGAACAGAGGAATCTCACTATTTGTATCTATTGACATTCAAAGTGAAAAGAAAAAACAAAGTGAACAGACAAGAAAAACTGAAAGAAGGTATGGCTTTGGTTAAATAACCTCTACGAAAGTCATTTTGAAAAGACGACTGTTACAGGATATCTTAAATACAGTGAGAAAAAAAAAGAAAGAATTAAGGCTCTAGAATTCCCTGAACAAGACAAAAGGCCAAATCTGTCTGCTGTGTATGAATAACCATGTACAGAACCCCAACCTGGTGGTCATACAGTAGATGCTACTCAGACGCTGAGGGAGACGAGTCATCCTAGTCCTACCAGTTATTCTAGCAGACCACCAGGCTCTCATTTTTACAAACTCACAGACTAATAACATGAAAACAGAACAGCGGACTCTTGACCTGCTCTCAGTATTTTTTGCTGAATTTGCCAGTGTTATTAGACATGATACAATGGCACAGACAGCCTAAGAAATAGATGCTGATGCTGAAATACAAAGCTGTTAATCCACAGTTGCATAGTTATCGGAATATCACAGGCAAGTTGTGTGTACGGTTTGCATTCTCTCAAAAACAAACATTCATCAGCTTCTCGATACAGTAATATCAGCAAAGACATCCAAATATCTCCGCTATGCCTTCCAAGCAGCCCTTTCCTTCTTTTAACGAGTGGTTATTAAACACATGTACATGCTTACAATGTAGCTGCATTGGACATGTACAAAAAACAACAACAAAAATTCTCAGGATGTACTCAGAAACAGTAAGGGTAGTGTAGCACAAAAACACTGTACTCCCAATATCTCTGTGCAGCTTCAGTTTACTGTACGAGGCAAATCCAACAAACTGCTTTTAGACTCGCTTTAATTCAGAGGAACCAAAAGGAATGATTTGGCAGCACATGTAATGAAGAGTGAACACCGCAGTGACTGCTGAGTCAAATATTAATCCATGCTCAGTTTGCCCTTGACTGCTTTGTAACACAGTATGCACCTTTAATTAAAATATGACATACTAGAAAGGGGTTTCTGGTCAAGGGACACTAAAGATGCATTTCACCATAAAACACAACTCTATCAGTTATATAAAGATGTGTCTTATCTGACTTTATACTAGGGAGGAGAGAATGTAAAAGGCCTTTTATCCTGATCATTTGTTTAAAAAAGTTTATATTGTGTAAAAACAACAGGTCACCTGTTCCCTGCCATATGTTCATTGTTTTGATTTCTAAAATGACGCACTCAACCAGTGAGTAACTTTACCACACACCGAGCATTTCATAGATCAGAGTTTCAGTGTGCTTAGTAACAATTTATCACCTTCTAAAAAGATAAAAAATAAAACGATTTGAGGGTTACACACATACACATACATACACACTCAAAACAAACAAGACAGCTGCTTGTTTCAGCACATCTAAGTAGACTGGGAGAAAAGTTGCTGTCTTGGAGGGGGGGAAAAAGATTTTCCTTTAAAGACCGAATATACCTTCATCCGATATAGTCACCCGCTCACAACACATAAAAAGCTTCACAAATAAACTGCTGTCAATCTAAAAAAAAAAAAAAATTCTGAATGACGTGAAAAACATTTAGTCTGGCCGAAGCAGCACACCGCTTCAACCACATGCACATACTTAGCCCATACACACTTCCAACGCCATCATCCAGAGACCGCTTCCTGCGATACAAACTAAACCCGTTCTCACTCTCCCTGTGCTAGAAATGCTTCAGACTCTCATTTTAGCCCTGACCCAAGTGTGCCAGTGTTAAACGTTCCCCCTAACTCTCTAACTGAACAGCTTGATGAAGCAGCCGTGGCAGTAGGGTTTGTCGTTTTGCTCTTTAAAGGTGCCTTTGTTGAGCTGTTTCAGGCAGAAGGCACAGACAAAATGCTCCGGGTGAAACTTCTTGGACATGGCTGTGATGCAGCGCCCCGTGATGGGCTTCTGGCAGCCGGAGCAGAGGGAGCCGCGGCGCTCGTGGTAGTGCACTTCACAGTAGGGTTGGCCATCGTGCTCAAAAAAGCTTCCATTCACAAATGGGGTGAAGCACTCCTGCAGAAACACACACACGTTATTATTATTATTATTTTAGTACTCTTTTTCTTACAAGGCATGCAAACTATTATAGAAAAGTTCCTGACTGAAGCATAACACTAACCCTGCAAACAAAACACTCGGGATGCCAAAGACAGTTCAGAGCTGAGATGTAATTTTCCAGAATGGCTCTGGCACAGCCGCCGCATTTCGGTGCAAACATGTCAAAGTAATCTTTCCTGCAGTATGCCTTTCCATCCTTTTCATGAAAACCTGAAAGCAGAAAGAGACAAGAGATTATATCCACTCTAAAGTAGAGAGAAACTGCTAAGCAGTACGATTCAAAACATATGCTTGTATCACTTTACCCTCAGGGCCAAAGAAAGAGCCACACTGAGCGCAGAAGAAGTGTTCGGGATGCCATGTCCTATCCAGCGCCGTCACAACTTTCTGAATGGACATTGAAGACATTTATAGGCTGACACGTCTACAGCAGAGACCACATGTGTGGAGAGCAGTGACTCACATCCAGTATGGGCCCGTTGCAGTAGTAGCACCGCGGAGAGAACAGATTGTGGTAATCCTTCTCACAGTAAGGCTGTCCTTCACGTTCAAAAAAGTTCCTGGAGCCGATTTCCTCTTGACAGTGTGTGCACACAAAGTGTTCGGGGTGCCATGTGCGGCCCATGGCGGTCACCACCTAAAAAATAATTGACAAAAAACAGATAACCAAAGCATGATTAGAAAACATCTATTTATGTTACAGACAAAAGATTACCTTAACCGAACCATCTCACCTGTCCCACAATCGGCTTACAGCAGGCTCCGCAAACTCCTTTAGCGACTGTCTGCACGCCCAGTTTGTTGAGGTCAGACTGCAGGCTGCCAAGCATGTTGTCCAGCTTGTTGACCTGTGTCGGGGGTCCACCGGAGACACCACCCTTCCCTTGGGCCATAATCTGAAATGGTTCAGTATGAAAATAGTTATTTACTGTTGAAATGTAACAAAAATATTTAAGTTTAGGGTTACTTAACTTTAAAATAAGTGTGAAAAACAGAAGGAATAAAAGAGGGAGGGGTTCATGCCTGCATTGGAGGGAAGATGGGGTCATACTCAGTTTGGCAGCCTACAGAGACCAGGACTTTGGGTGCAACTGGGGGAACCGAGTCCACTGTTGGTGGCTGGGTTGGGGTTTTTAGGACAGGAGGAGGCGGCTCTGGTTTAGGTGTAGAAGGGTTCTGGACTGGAGCCGGTGGAGGTGAGGCTTTTATGAACTGCCGAGGTGGAGCAGCAACTGGTTCGTGAATGTGGTGGGTACGTTGTGGAGGTGGTGAAGGAGGTGGAGGAGGTGGGGGTGGTATTGGGACAGGGGGGTGCTGTACAGGGAGGGGTTGCTTAGGTTCTTCTATGACAGGGGGGCGACGAGGGGTAGGGGGAGAGGGAGGTGGCAGCACCTTCCTCACAGGGACAGGAGACTCGGGGGGAATTATGATCTGAAGAAAAGAGGAAAAACAGAAGGAAGGAGACAGGAAATGTGCAGAAAAGGGAAACAAAAAGTGAAATAATTGCGAAAGGAGAATTTGTGGAAACTGTCAAGCACACTGAAGCCAACCTTGTCGACCTCACTGCCCGCCCCATCGGGACGATATCGCTGAGGTTTGGACGTGACGATGACACCCTCCGTCAGCCAATCATCGGACTGTTTGCGCCTCCGTTCTGAGCGGCCGATCCCAAGCTTACCCTGAAGCTCTTCTATGAGACGGTCCTGGGAGGAGTTCTTGTTTACAATGATGGGTCCCATCTTCCTGCGCAGGTGAGCCTCTCGGTACATGGGGTGCACATTGGGAGTCTCCTTAGTGCGCCTAATAACTGATTTTATCTAAGAGCAGGGAGGGAGGGAGCGAACACCTTATCATATGTCCACTCCAATTTACAAGCTCAAGCACTTACAGCAGAGCACTGAGGCAGCAGGTCAGTCACACCAGACGTTTTCAAGTCACTGACGTGCCGGCAAAGCAGTGGTCACGAGCTCGGAGTCCCATATTAGGAACTTCATGCATGCTTTCAGCAGAAGCCACTGCTATCGATGATCTAACTCTCATCCTTCAGTTTCTCAAGCAGCCACATAAACATCAGGTCTCAGTTTGGTCCTTCACACAAATGCAGTGGTGCCATGCAGAGTGCTGGTGCTGCCAAACAGCAGGTTAGTTGTAAGAGTAGTTTCCAAGCAAAATCTATTAATTAGCTTGCTTCAACTCCTTCAGCCTCTTACTTACAAGACATTTTCTTCTAAATAAATACATGTAGTTTCTACATATCGATCAAAGCTTAAAAATTTAGCGTTTTTCTGCCTGGTTTATTTGCCTGGCTAAAGTAACTGGGCGCATCTCCTCCAAGGTCTGTTTACAGGGATGAAAAGAATCGAGCTCAAGCCAATCACAGCCCTGATGAAACTGAAAGCTAACAAGTCAATCATAATCGTATCTGATGTAAGGATCATAGTAGTGGTCAAAATAGCAGATAAAATATTAGATGCCATGTTTTAGTTTTTCAAAAAACATGCAAGATAAACCCTTGCAGCAGAGGCTGGGATTTAAAGGCGCATCAGTCTCATTAGCTACCAAAACAACATTTTAAAATCAGGCAGGGCCGGCGAAGCGTACATGTCCAGATGCTGAGACTCTGTCTATAGTGGGAGTCTGAAGCAGGGGCAGGTCCAGGGTGACGTCAGGGGTCCCGGGGCATGATGATGGGGTCATGGACTCATCCATCCAGCTGGCCTCTGTCAGTGGGGTCATGCTGCCATCTGTATAGAGCCTCTCAGTGTAAGGGGTCATGGTGCCATCCAGACCGTCATGTAAGGACATGGACAGCTCTTCGTCTGCCCAGTCCAGGTCTCCATTCCCATCTGTGCCTCCGTCCACTGAATCGTCTGTAAAAGTGTTGGTGAAAGTGTCTGGCTGGACGCTGCTTCTGTCCAAGGGTAGGATGAGCTCCTCGTGCACCTCCTGCATTCCTCTGCCAAGACACTCTGCATCATTCTTCAGCTGAGGTCCATCCACATTCGCCATTGTGTGATTTTGTGAAAAACTCATTGCTAGAAGCTTGTCTAGTGCCTCATCCAGGGATGGCTCTACCACAGGGGGTTGCTGTACAGTGAAGTTGGTGGTTGTATGGGTTGCAGGTGGTGTCTCCAGCAACTGTCTGTTGTGGTTATTAAAGGCCATTGGAGAAGAGACTATTAGTGGCGAGACTGGAGATGGTGAGGATGTTTTTGAAGGTGAAGACAGAGAGACAAAAACGGGGAGGGGTGAGGGGGCTGAGACCTGAGGGGTGAAGTTTTGGGTTGTAGGTAAAGACGAAGAGGAGAAACTGACATCGAGATCATAAAAACAAGGAGAACCCTTGCTTACACTCTCAGGAGCACAGGAGGATTTACCTCCAGAAGCTGAGGGTGAGACCCGTTCTACAGATGGACTTGGGGACTTGGAGGACTTGTGATCCAGGACAGTGATAACTGAGGTAAGTGAAGGGGTAGTGGTATTGGAAGGACTTGGGCTACTTCTTAGCAGGTTGGAGTTAGAGGAAGCAGACTGAGAGAGGACTAGCAGAGACTTGGTTTGAGATGATAGCATGATGGCAGAGACATCTATGACAGAGTCCAGGTCTAGCTCACTGGTTGCAGAATATGAGGATGTAGGACTGTGTGGAGAGAGATGGCTAGGGTGGGGTCTCAACATGCCACCATCTCCTCCATCCTCATCTATATGTAGCTCTAGCCCAGCAGGTAAAGAGAAGAGAGGAGAGGCACAGGCAGACGGATGAGACAGACTCAAGGAAGGAGAAGCCATGGGGGAAATGGAAGAGGACATTGGAGTGTGGCAAGAGCTGGAAGATGCTCCTGCTGGTTCAAGCAGAGAGCCTAAAGAGCTAGGCTAGAGGAACAGAGAAGCACAAGTGAGAGAAGAAGAAGAAGAAAGCAATCATGAAGAACATGACAGGAGAAGCTTGGGATTTGTTGTTTAAATAAAGCCTTTCCAATGCTCCCTCATACCTTGAAGTCAGACAAAGAGGCCATCAACTCATCGAGCTCTCTGGTGGCACAGGAAGCTGAAATTCTGGCCTGCTGTTGAGAGGATGTGTCCAAGTCACTGTGGCGAGTGGAGGGGCTGGAAAACACAAGTCATTGTGATTATTAAATCCATGCAAACACTGACTTTTGTTTTTAATAGTGAAGCTCAAAATTGTGTAAGTTGATGATTTCTAATTATCAAAGCAAAACAGGTGCTGTGTTGCTCCACAATGTCTCAGTCTCCCCACGGCAGCTGTCACACACAAAGCAATACAGCTACCATTTAATGCTGCTGTAAACTTACTTACACAATCTTTTACTGCGCATGGAAAATGCATGTATTTGTTAAGAAGCTGTAAATGCTACACATTCAGAAACCTCAGATATTTCCATTTGCTCATACCAGACCCAATATCAACACTCTCACATACATTTTAAGTATATATACCTCCCTGTGTGGAACTTTTCTGGAATCCTTCTCAATAAGGTCGCATGAGGGGAGAAATTGCACACAAAAAAAGAGCCCAACATCTGCAAATATTTTTTCTACTCTTAAGTCCTACACAATGACAAAATGTCATTTTGTCATTGTGTAGGACATTTTAGTTCTCTCCCTTACAGGGAGAGAACTAAAATGTCTTGAGACAGTGGATGAACTGAATGGGCAACACAAAGACTCTGTATCAGATATATTAGGATTAATTTAATCTGCAAATCATGCAAAGCTCTTCTAGTAGAGTCTAGGGATAAAAATACAGAACTGCAAATGAACATGACAGGTCTACTCTGCCAGGTCTCAGAAACTTTCTGCTGAAGAATATAAAGACCGTTTTTAGTGTCTAACTCTGAACTAGTATAGTGAATCAAACACAAAACAAAAAGGAACAAAGTCTGCAACACTGGTTAAAGGGGACTTTAATGCCAAGTTAGACCCCAGCTGTAGTGGAGATACCTGGGTGAAGGCACCGAGCCTTCCAGCTCATCCAGCAGACTTTCCACAGTAGGTCGGGCGTCCTCCATCCTCCCATTCCTCTTTGGTTTCTCCTGAGGTGGTGGGCTTACCAAGATGTCAGGTGTGCCGCCGTTCTCGTAGTGAGTGATGCTGCAGGATGGCAAGGGAGGAGCTGCCTCCTCTGTGGACACATAACATTGAAACTAATGATGCTCAATCCCATTAGAACCGATAAATCTGAAGCCTTTGTCTCTACCTGTAGTGGGAAATGAAGGGGAGCTCTGTTGCACAGCATTAAGTTCCAGCAGAAGCCTGTCAAGCTCTGACAGATTACTGCCCAACGCAGAAGTCATGGCTGTTGTAGAGGAATCTGATGTCTTCTGTTTGTTTGGGAAACTAAAGAGACAGAGATAACTTACCGAAAGAAACTAAAAGTTAAAGAAAATGCCAGATGATGCAATCAGGTTTATATACACAACATCCTGAGTGTGTGGAAGTTACCTGTACACGTGGTCCTCTTCAATGTGAGATAATGGAGAACTGCTACTGTCCCTTGACCATGAGCTCTTCTGTGCCGAACCCAGTGACTGCAGAGAATACACCAACCAGTAACTGCTGAGGTTTTTTTTTAATTAATGTAACATTTACTGTTTCTCATTTGAAGAGTCTGATATACTAAGTGAGATCAGATCACAAACATTGCAGAGATCTACCTGCTGAGAGGAGTGGTGGGAATCAGGCTGATCTCTCAGGGACCCGTTCAGAGCTTCAGCTGAAGGTGGAGGAGGGACCGGAGGTGGAAGTGTAACATCTTGGTAGGGCTGTCCTCCTGTAGGGATGGAGTAGGGCGTCTCGTCGGGCAAGAATACAGGTCGCTTTGAGATGTGGGATGTAGTAGATTCCAGGTCTGCCAGCAACGCGTCTGAAAGATGCAATTCATTCATGTTTCAAGGCACAGTGAGAACATAAAAAACGATCTGTCCAACCAAAACAACAATCAGAATAGATCTATTTGTCTAAGGTAAACAAATTCTAAAGGTCTTTTTCCAAGATGTTTTAGCCTGCAAACATAAAACCAATCACACCTTCAGTGGGATCTCCCTTCTGTGTGAAGAGCAAACATAATCTCCCAGTGGCTGTGTAGGTTTCCTCCCACAGCTCAAAGAATATCAGAGTAACTGGTGATTTTATACTGGCCTTAGCTGTGGATGATATAGTGTGTTATCCTTGTAAGCCCTTGCAGCCCTTGCTGAATAACTGGTTAACAAAATGGGTGGACAGACGGATGGATGGGCGCTCTGAGGTCACTACTGATGTTGGCGTCAGGCTGTAACAGACAATGCCAGCGAGTCTGAGCCCTTCATTCCAGCCTGTTAACAAAACTGGTTTCTCCTCACAGGTCATCCATGCTGTGGTGGGTACATGGCCAAATGTGACCACCGCAGCATGGCACACTACAACACCTACACCCAATTTCTAAGTCATAAAACATCCCCCAGAAACTGGCAATGTGTTTTTCCCACAGTCCACATTAAGATACAAACTTGAAGTCTATGAGAGCAACCATGCATTTGATCTGTCAGCTCCGTGTGCCATGCATCCAGTTCATGTCTATGATTAGTCTTAGTTTCAAGAGCCTGAGTGTGAACTTCGTGAGACAGACTGATAAAACAAAGAAGCAGAGAGACAGAAAATGTTTCTGAACCAGGGTTGAGGGGGTACAGTGTTACCCTGGCGAGTGTTTGGTGGAACGCAGGAACAAAATAGACTCTTACATCACACAATCCATCCATCTGCAGCATGTCTAGAATAGACCGCAATCCCTGGCTGCATAGTGTTACACTACAGAGGCTTGGCCCTGTTACAAAGAATAATATCTTTGAAAGGCAGGATGGAAAACGGTCCAAATATCCAAGAAACAGGGAGCTCTTACCACCTGTCTGTCTAGCACAGACTGGCTCTCTAGATTTGGATTTGTTAAGTTTTATTTCCTGCCTCTTCTGAGTTTATATTTTAATCTCTTAACATCAAACCAAGTCACTGGTGAGATAGGATTAAAACTTGCGCCTGTTTAGAGCAACCAAAGGGAAAATATCTAACTCTAAAGTATTTGAGAGCTGACAAGTTAAAAAAAATGTTAAAGAAGTTAAGAAACAAGATTCATCTGATTACATATCATTCTGGAAAACTTCCTAAAAGTTTTTATTTTACAAAATAATTCAAATTCTCAAAATATTCCACCACTAAATCCCAACTTCATCCCGAATGAATGGAGAAACCTCCAGCATAAAATACACAAACACAGAGAGAAACGCATACATGCAACACAACCATATAGTTTTGAAATCCTGACAAAGTTCAGTATCTGTACTTACATTCTTTCCACCTGTATCTGTAATATCCTTCATGAAGGACTGTGACTGTGTGGATGCCAATGTGTGAGTGTGAGCAGCATGAAGCGATAACAGGCTGCCAGTCTAATGGGGGAGTGGTTTAAGGGCCAAACAGTATCCTCTCAGTGCCCTCTTATCTCAACACAAACGCTGAAATGAACTTTGAGAGAGAGAATGCATTAACAAAATATGACCAACAGATCTGAGCTTCACAGGTGTTTGGTCAAGAGCAAGAATAATGTGTGACAAAAGTTTAAATCTTGTACATCTTCTAGCGACAGACCGGTCTATATCGCAAAAAGAAAACTCACACCTGTCTCCATCTTTCAAATTTCATATATACTCTCTCTCAACCCTTCATCACAGCCCTCAATCCACAGACACTGCCACCACAAGCCCTGAAAAGTTTGACATAAACCACATGGGAGCTCTAATCTATTTAAAGCGGGAAGCTCTGTGAGTAGCCCATGTCTGTGCAAATGTGCTGAAATATCATGACCAGCCCAAAATAATCTGCACCTGGTGCTGACATGCTGAGCAAGGTCTCACTGAAGTTGACTTTGTCACTCATGAAACAAAGCCGCTAGATTAAAAAAAAAGAATACCACAACTGTGTTTTGGGACAAAGGTGAGTCATGTGAAATATAGCGCATTTAGGTACTGATCTACATTTCTCATGAAGCAGCAGCTTAGAGCCTTTCAAATCAAAATAAATGAATAAATAAATGCCTTAGGTTACTAATTATGGCCATGTATTCCTAGAAAGTTCTTCACAGCCTTGACAGAGAGGGCAGCCATGCTGCCTCAGGCCCTCTGAGCCAAGTTTATAAGACAACTCCTTTCACAGCAACTCTGCACTTATTATTCCTTCTCCCAGCTGGTGATACTACACATGTATGCCTGACACAGGACCATGATCTCCAGGATAAATGAACACAGAGTATCCATAATAGGAAATACATTTTAGTACATTTTACTGTGATGAGCCAATATTGATACATCAGAGTTTGTTTTCTGAATGTGACACTAGTTCAATTATCAGTACAGTAGTATCTTTTCAGGAAACTACAGGGTATAACGATTCTCTAAAACCTGAGGCTGGTTAATACCTCTATTGCTCCTTGAATCACCTTGTTGTTGAATTGTGCTATACAAATAAACTTGCCTTGCCTTGCCTTTACAAGGGAGCATTCTTTTTTTAAAACCTATCCATTAGTCACAGACTGGATAACATATAAACTCCATTATTATGATGCATGGGCCTTAATGATACACAGTTCTCTTTCAACCCTCTTTTGCTTTTCACAGAACTGGGGTTATGCTAAATGTTTGCACCTGAGTAGCATGCTCCTCGTGTTGTCATTTTGGTCCCAGTTCCAAACTTGTTACACCCATAAAGGAAAAATAGGCACAGCAGCTCAGCTAGACTGCTCCTATCCATATATGCAACGTATCATAGCTACTCTAGATCTGATAAGTTTGTGTTTCTTTCATATGACAGAGTTCAGTGCATGTGTGTGGTTGCATGTAGGTCACAGGTTACTGTCAGAAAATATAGGTATAGCCGTTGCCATAATGTAGACACTTTTTGGATAGTACAAGTCATGATGGCTATTTAAAAAAAACAAAAACAAAAACAAAAGAAGAAGAAGTTTTTTTTTTAACATGATGGATTAACGCTATAAGTGGGACACAGACTTCCTCTAACTACACAGACAGATGGTGTTACAGAACATGGGCAAACATATCGAATGTCTTTCATTATTTATGAGCTGCTTTGATATCAGATTTATTATACACATCCTCAAGCAATCAGTCCCAATAAATCACATTTTTTCTTCTTTTTGGCCATGGACACAGACCAGTGTTTTCATATCACTTCTGTCTGATGTTTTCTCCATTGCATATGTGTTTGTGTGCATAGCCAGGGAAACAGTCCAGCAGATAGTCACTAGGGGAATGGAGTTATGCAGGTAAGAACCTTCATGCAGCTGTACTTAAACATAAATGTACATTTTATTATACCGGTCAAATTTTCATAATATGTTATTCTGTGAAACCAGTATAGCCAGAAACCAGAGCAAAAACGATTGCCTAGTAAACTGACTGACAGAATGATTCTGTTTTAGATTCAAGTTAACAATTATTTATATTATAGAATAATCTCAACTATTTATCTTCTCTTTTAATCTGTTGTTTGGTTTGTAAATATTCTGATGCCTGTAATTTAAAACATTTACAAAAAACAGTTGACAGTTTATATAAACTGCTAGAGAAGAATTTTTGACACGAAACAGTTATCTGCTTTAGGTTAAAAGCTTGAATTTGTAAACAATAAGTAACAATAGATGTGAGATCATTCTAGGGAAGTAAACAATATTTCCATCTGACATGCTACAGAGTAGAAGTAGAAAGTATGTCTGAGGAAAAGAACAGTACCTTAAATTTGCTCTGACAGTGAAAACAGGACATTAGGAAAGAAAATCCAAAATTTCCATCACACATCCTTTTGTGGCTTTTGACTAAGCAGCCTGTAATCCACACACATCATTCTCAGTGGGTGGCCTGTAAGCACATCTCTGATGTCTGTTACTGCAGCTCATAAAAGGAGAAAGAATGAAAATGGGAGTTAAACTTGCTTGCTGCTCCTCATTTCCCTGACGAGGGCAGCATTGACTGTCATGAGGACAGACAACAAGCCTTCGCCAGCCTCAAAAAACTTAAGTCCACAAAGAGTTAGAAACACCGAGAATCCAAACATGCACTGTAAGCCAAGCAACAGGCTAATCTTTTCCATTCCAGACAGGGGGTAGGAGCCACAATGGACAAAGTCCAATTCTGCTCTAACAGCATCCTGACTCAATGGTCCATTGTGCAAGATCTGGAGAATGAAGCTGTCATCTAAAAGGGTGTCTGCAAAAGTCGTGAGCTATGATTTAAACGCTGTGTTTCACAGTGAATACAGAAACAGGTTCGACATCCAACAGTTTAAAGATTAAACCATGTCATTACTCCTCTCTCACAAAGAAGATGGAGAAGAAAGAGACTCAGGCAATTTATTATACAGCATATCGTGTTTTACTTGTTGCTCTGCAGGTATTAGGTTTGCCTGCTTCATGTCTCTGAATAGATGAGAATGATTAAAGCAGCGATACACCAGTGTGCAACCTGAAAAGAAAGCAGGACAGAGGTGTAACGTGCACCAACTGCTTCACTCGTACAATGTGCTGATTTAAACCAACAGCAGCGCTTTCAGGGGATTCAACTGCGGCCACACTGTGCCAACTAATCTTTATTATGTTCAACAAACAACTGAAGTCATGTGGACACTGTACACATTCTTGTGGCAGTGGGCGCATGTACAGTCTTGTCTGCACCCCTATCTACCCACCCAAAGCCATGCCATCGTCCTGCTGTGTGTATCAGATGGGAGTGAAGGTGCAGGGGGAATTCCACACATTCCTCTGTCCACTTGGCAAAAAGCAAGCAGATCAGGCAGGGACGCAGGCAGGGAAGGTGGCTCAGGAACAGGAGCATACAGTCACCCTAATCCAATGAAAACTCATTTTAAAAACCCAACCAGTCTCAACTGGAATCTAAATGACGCTTTGTGATCAAAGCTACTTAAGCAGGACATTCCTTCAATGCTGCGGGATCCTAGGTAGTGAGCCTGTGAAGAATGTGCTCCGATACAAAACACCATCTGTCAGTACAGAAAATGAAATAATGTGTTGACAATTACAGGATGGATTCCACTAACTGCAGCATGCCTTGAATTCCAGGATAAGGGAGATGTCAAAATTTCTACTGCCCATTGCCCACAGAGTACCATGCAGGGTGGAAACCAAGGCTGCCTAATGTTTTTTATTAACATGTGGGCAATGGTGATGGGCCGCTGAGGTCTACAGCTCACCTGTTTATAGCCAGGGAGCAAAAGAGCAGAACTGGCCACAATCCCAGGGTGAAACCCTACCCCATCAGGCCAACCCAACATGATATTTATATCAAACAAGACAGGCAGGGGCCACGGAGAGGGGGTGGAGGGTTAGATGCCAGCGAGACAGACAAGGAAGGCTGTGTAGAAACCACAGAGCGGGAATGTGGGTGAGAATGAAAGAAAATGGACCAAAAGCAAACTTGATTAAATAGTGGACCAGGGGAAAAATAAAGGTCAAACCTTGCAGGGGCTCGCACCCTGTCTATACAGTACAACACACGATCCCAAACAGACAATGGATGAATGAATGGATCAGAATGACTAAAGCATTGTAGGGTGATTACTATCTAAAAATATCCTGCCAAGCAATCCCATATCCGAAAGATGACACTCGTCTTGGAGGGAACGCCAAACCAAAATAAAAGAACTTCCCCACAGACCAGTAAATCAGATGACATGGCACCATGTGGAGACTGATGTAACACCCCAGTCACTGAGGACACATTCATAGCCATGAATGTAGATAAATTGCATGTCAGCGAGCAGCCTTTTGTGCTATAAGAGTGTAATTGGGTAGGATGAGAAGAACGTCAAAGAAAGACCGTCTTGTCCCTCTTAAACACCGACTGAAACCAGTCACCCAAGCTTCAAACTAACAGGGCTTAATGCTTTGAGTTAAACACTAAGAATGTACAGTTGGGACAAAAGAAAGTGTCATAATGTGAACAATTATTTAAATATGGAAAGTGTACCACCTGTTCCAACTGAATTTTTGTGAATAAGTAATTATTATATTACTTTAACCTCATATGTACACTTGGTGGTTTTCTCATCTTCCCATATAATCAAGTTGTAGTTGCAAGTCAGCTTTTGTGTATGAATATAATCCTACTACCGTTTCATTCACACTAGTTTTTTAATAACATTTATAACTAATAAAAAAATTAAATTAAACTTAGCTGTAAAAGTAATAATTACAGCAGTAAAGTTACTCTAAATGTTATGATGTATTTCACTTTAAATGTCTACATGAGACAGA